AAGGAGTTAGGGGTGTTAGGTACCTCCTACAGTTACGTAGGGAATCCCCTCCCAGTTTCTCTCTACACTCCCTTCCCTACCTACAACTCTACCTCCTCACCCTCTTCTTACAACCAGGTTGAAACTCATGATCTCCTTTCAATGGGTGTTCTGCACATATTTCTCCACTTTTGAACTCGTCCTACCCACCCTCTCTCTGTTTGCAAGGAAAAAAATGCCCTGTGTTGTCAAATGCTACCATTTAGATCCACATCAAATGGATTTTAGTTGAGCAGCTAGAACTAGTGTCTGAATAGATTGTTCATATTTTAAACATGTTTTATTTATTTGACCAGTATTTTAATGTGCACATTTACTTGCATACTGGTCAACAACAAAAACAACAACAGCACAGTTGTGACCTAAATAGAAGTAAGTCCCACTTCATCAGTAAGATAAATGTGAAACTGTGCCGCTCCTCTGTGGCAGCATATTAACATACTTTCATGGTGGATATACAGCGATAAACCAGAACAGCCTGGCCACCTGTTTAATATGTTGTCAGGCCTCTTGTCCTAACAAAACAACTCATTGAGGCATATACTCTACAAAACCTCTGAAGCCTTTTATTTTGTTTTTTTCCCAACATTCCAAAACATCCACTACACAATAAAAAAAAAATCCAATTAATGTTCATTCTCTTATTTTATATGTGCAAAATAAAGAAATTGTTGTGGCAAAGTTTTAAAAAACTGGTTGAACTGACATGGAATAACCCACCAGGACACAACATTTCAAACCTAGGAGAGGCAGCACTAGCCATCCATACTAAAGGAGCTAAGCACCAGGCTGCTGCTGCTGCTGCTGCTGCTGCTGCTGTGTGCAAATCAGCTCTTAAAATCATCACCAGCTTTTTCATCCCAGTGACCAGCATGACATCCCTGCCAACTGCAGTGCTTCCCCCTTGTCCACAAATAAACAAGGGATTATTTTGGTTACCGTGTTCAGAAACGAACCCCTACAGCTGCGGCTACTGTGGACAGGAAAGGTGACAAATTCTCATTATTCCTACATATCATGTGGAGACTTATAATATATTTTTTTTAGGTCATGTTACCTGATACCAGGATAGCTGCAGGTTTTGCATGCAGTGAACACAAGTGTATATACTTCTGGATTGGCTCCTTACTTTAAGGAACTGCATTTGTCCAAAGTATAGATTGAATGCCATGATGAAACCTTGAACTACTGTTGACAGACAAAACACTTGGACATGCATGTCAGGCTGTGGGATGGGCCTGCGCTGAGGACTTAATATTCAAGATATTATGGAGAAAATGAAAGACTTGCATTTAAAGATTGTGATCACAAAACTCGTCCAAATCTATATGGATGGACTAAATGTTAACTGTAAAGTGTTCATAATACTCCAGAAGTAGACACGCAGAACGACGTGGAGAAGTCGCTAATCAACTTCAGGTTGTGTGGGTTGCACACGCTGCACAATGCATTAAGGGATGGATGTCTGTACTGGCGGACCCACAGATGCCCTGCCCATCACAAGGATTTTATGACAGCAGTTTAATGTAGCTCGCTCATGTTTACATCGTGCAAGCGTCGGTAGATTGAGAATGTTAATGTGTCAGAAAGTGGATTGCTGCTCTGGCCGCACGTCAAACACTGCATCAAGTTGATAGGGAGAGGTGAACCACCCAAACTGAAAGTGAAGTCATTTGAGGAGGTTATGCTCCGCCGTGCAGATTCACTCTCAGTCAAAGTGGAGATATATTTCATTTCAAGAGAAATCAACTGCTTTGTACATTGCCGTCTAATAGAAACACACAACTATAAAAAGTGTGGCTGTTTTTCACTTATTTAAATTATGCTCCTCCCAATCCAGAGCAAAAAGTTGGTTAATAAGACAGCATAAATCTGTCATAATTGGCGTCCTGAACAGTCACAGGCCATTTAACAGCATTCTTGTCCATGACATTACCGGTAGAGAAATTGGTAACATTTTTTGTAGTCTCAGTAGATACAAACAACAATAAGCACTGTGGAAAAATTAACCCACCATGACAATGTGGAAATCACGCACAGTTTGTATTTCTTTTCTCTTTAAGGGGGATACATAGCAGTTAGTAGAATGTAGGATAAAGACAACGTGTGTAGTGTCATGCATAAGGAATTGTGTCTTTGTGTGGTGAATGATTAAAATAAATGAATCACTGTTTAACATACAGAATAGGATCAGCATTCTGCACTGCAATTTGTATCACCTAAGCTTTGAAAGGGAAATTTTCACTTATTTAATGTTTAACTGAAATCAAACGGAGATGCACATAATCTCTGGTTTGTAACTTTGCGAATTAAGAATGATCAAGCTGAAAAGTAGAATCTTTTCTTTACATTATTTGAGATGCTTATGGGATGCTTTCTGGAGGAAGAGCACCCTTTAAGAGGTCACATTCACTCTGAATCTCCTCCATGTACCCTTTTCAGGGCAGCAGTCTGCAAAAGGACAGGTTTCACATTGATACTGGATGTGCAGAAGAGGCCACCCTGAACCAACTCAAGTCTTCCAAAAACATTTCAGAGAGAGATTAGAGATTGAGATGGACTCCAAGATATTCCATGAGAGGTTCCAGTGCGTCACACAACCGTGAGAAGCATGTTGTGCCTCGACCCGGGACGCACGGTTAAGGATCTGTGCATAAGTCAAATGAAAAGAATGCTGCCCATACTTGTTGAAGCTAAACACATCATTTATGGAGTTTCGTGATCCAGCTACTCATAGACTAAATTCAACCCCAAAACAGATTTCGATGGACATCCTAATGTATGAGACAAAAAACATTATTTACCAGAATAATCCTAATAATCAGGAGGAAAGATCTCTGGTGACTTAGACACTCATTGATGATCACGTCCGGTATGTAGGGGTCTTAACAAAGCTACAGATCACAAAAGCAGCTGCGAGAGCCATGCAGAAGTACGATTGTTACCTCGATGAAGAGAAGGTAAGAAAGAAAGAACAGCAAGCTGTTGACTTGAACCGGGAGACCCTCACTAATGAACTAGACAATTTGAAAAGAATGGAGCGAGGATAGAGGCAGATATTTCTGCCTTTGAGAGTTCAGTGGAGGAATCTGTAGAAGCTTAAAGCAAACTGACTTTCATCACCAAACCCAACAAAATCTGTCTAACTGTATGCGAAGAAAAGAAAGCATATCTGATGAAGATTGCAAAGCATATTGATGAGACGCTTGGAGGAATTAAAAAAACAACAAGTTGCTGATAGTTTTTTGGGTGCTTAAAGAGGGGAGGTTATCCTCTGTTAATGCTCAGTTCGGTTAATCGTAAACAGGGGTCATAGGTTGTATAAGATCTTTTTACTTACAAAATCTTGTATTCTGAAAGAGATAATCTGGCTGACCCTGTCAGCTTCTAAAGTTAATGTCAGTGTTACTGAACATTTTTCTTTTCTTTCTTTTTTTTTTTTATTTTTTTTTATCATCGCCTCACTATAATTTATTGTAATTAGCACTACACAGTAGACTTCTCAGGGTTTAGGCCTGAGTCTAAACATCTTTATTGTGTATCTGCTTGAATACAGCTATATTTCTTATCCAGCCTCATAGCTTGTCATTCAGTTAAGATGTACTGTAGGACATTTTGACATGGATTTCTATTATTCTTTAATGTATAACCTTCAAAGAATAAATGGTCAAAGACACGGTAAATTTGTTTACCGTGTCATTGATCATTTATTTAGAGCACTTCATTGCTAAAAATGAGTATAAACCTTGCTAATAGATCCCAGACCTTGACATGTGCCTTTGTTACGAGATAATAAGCCTTATTTGCTACATCTATGAGTGGTCAGAATGCTTTGGCTCATCTGTGTATTTGTGTTTACTGTATTTTTAGCCTGATTTGAACTCTGTCTGAGTGAAAATGCAGAGCTTACTTTATAGATGAGTTTTTGAAAAAAAAAAAAAAAGCTACAAACTTTTTACATTACAGATATTAAAAGAAACCTCCAGGCCGTGCTCTGAATCTCTCTTGGTGAGTGCTAAAGCCCTAATAACAAGGTCTCTTGTCCGTGCCTTACAATTATACTTCTGCTTCTTTCTGAGGGTATGTTTCATTTTCATCCTTCAGCCTCAGTCCTTGAATCAGCACCACCCTATATATGGTCAACTCTGTGGTTTTGGTCAGTTCACGTCCTTGTACTTATGTTCAGCGCTCGTGAGGGGCATACTACTGTGGAGTGGAGAACTTATTGCTGCTTGTGCCAGTAGACTTTATTCTATCGCTAATGGTCAATAATATACTTCCTATATTTTCTTGGTTGTATCAACATTTCAGGAATCTTCCTCTGTATTGTTCAATCTGTTTTAATGTGACGAATTGGTCTATAGGCTTCTATAGTTCAGAAGACCAGTCAGATGTTTACTACAATTTGATCTACTGTATAGAAAAAATAAAAATGACTAAATTACATGTTGTTCTAATCTTCCCAACTGTTTGATATATTACATGTTCTTGGCTATTTCTCCCTACAGTAGTAGATATGAACACTGCAGCTGTTTAGGGAATAACTGTTTGGTTGTAGAGCACGCCCAGCAACCCAGAAAACCCAACTACGTTTAACAGTTACTGCCCAAAGCATTACCCCAGAAGAAGTGATTATTATGTGATATCCACCAGCTGGTGTCCTAGTATTGAGTGTATATATCATGGTCTCCATGACGACTCTGTTTTTTTCATTTACACATGCACACACAGTCCCACAGATGGACAAGATCTTGGAAGCAGTGAGGCGTATTGTCTTGGACAGATTAAGGCCGAATCCATGTTATGCTCTGAATTTAAACAAGGGCATTTGTGTTTGACTGTGAAGGAAATACTATGAGAGCTCAGATGACCTCATCTGTCTGTGTTGAAAAACAGGCAACAAGCACTACTGTTGTTGATAAGCGGAAACTAAAAAATGAGTTTTTCTGTGTCTCATTTAGAGAAAAACAGTTCCTGTGGCACCTGAAACTCATATTTCCTCAGAGCAGCTCAGAGTTCAGTCAGAGGAGGTAAGTTGCACAACAATACTACATTTCTTAAACTGTGGTTTGTGCTAAACCTCCGGTGTTTGTCTAGTGAGGCAAATTTATATCAGAACTGATGTTGTGCGGATGTTGTTGATCACATGGTTTCTCTCACATTTGCCTCTTGCTTCACAATATCTCTCTTTTGTTGCAGGGTGTGTGACAGGCAAACCTTGGAACAGATCTTGACCGCCTACATTCACCCTACAGAGTCAGAGCCTGTGACTCGTCAAAAGTGAGCTTTGTCCCCTTCACACTGAAGCTACTTCCACACTAGTCTGACTCACTGGATGTAGACTTCAGAGATACGGCTGTGATCAAATGTTTACATAAACATGTGAAGTCCATGTATGTCATGGTAGTCTTGAGTTTCCAATGACTCCTACAAATCCTAATTCTTTATGATGGACGATGCTCCTATGCCATGATTACAGTCTGGATGAAAACAAAGACATCAATCCTGACTACCAGTAGTTTAACATGGATAATGGTTGCTGGATGGAGATGACTTTTATTTTCACATGCTGTTTTAAAATGAAGCCATATCAGTGTGGATGTGGCCTAAAGTCTATCTAATATGTTGGCTTTATGCGTTTGTAGGGATAAATTAAAGCTTGTTCTCTCCTGAAAAAAATACTAAAACTCCAGGTGTTGGCAGAGTCCCGATCCTTTAACCATAAGTGGAGAAATTAATACAGCTCCATGCTTTTAAGGCCTATTAAATTTTATTTGGACCTTTTAAGAAGGTTTATGAAATCACATCATTACAAGACAGACACAACTTTCAGATCCTGGAAGTACCAGCGAGCTGCTATGTTTATCAATGATGATACATCCCTAATTGTTTGTTTAACTTTGTCCATTTTTATGTGGACAAGCAGCAGCTACGCATTGATGAATGTGAGATGTCTGGAATGGGGATTTGGACCTTGAATAGCTGAAACGAACGATATGTCCGTCATCTTGACAATAACTCAAGGGCATTTTGGAAATTACATGAACATTTGTTACCATGTCTGCTTTGTTATATCGAATTCTTTATTGCATTGACTACACTTCTTGCTGTATCGTGCAGCAAAGCCAGACACCTTAGAATTATGTGTTGCATTCAGTGGTAGAAATTCAGCTGCTCTGTTTTTCTGGTTCACTTACTCGACTCATGAATAGAAATAGAAAACTTAACAATGTGATAATAGACCTAGAAGTCAGCACCACGTTGATATATGGCCTGGAAACCCTCTAAGTTTAGGGGTAATGACTGCTGCTCAGTCCATTGTTTTCTCTTTAAAAATTTAAATGAGCAGTTTCACTGTTGGCAGCGACTATGAAGCTTTCTTCCGTAGATTCTTGTGTTCAGAACAACTTGAAAAAAAGAGTGGAGAAAACAAAGCTAAATGAAACACTCAGCTGTTGAAATTCCGATCGATCATACCTGTACTTCATGAACATGGTTTTATCTAAACTATTCAATTATAAGTGCTTAAGAAGTGTAATGCATTCTTATCATAGTGTCCTTGGCATATTACACACTATGCAAGCTTTTTATATCACCTGACGCTGCCTTGCACAGAAGCCGACATAATGGACTGTTGAAAGAGGTCTTTTTCTAGACTCACACTTTTATTCTGTAAAAATCCCATTGGTCGCCATGACTGTCGCTTTGGTCATGATGATCTGTTACAGGTCCACGGTCACCTGTTTGACAGACCAGAGCTCCTGTATTTGAGTCTGGCAGCAGGATTATGCCTCAGTTACAGACTTAGGACAAATCAATCTGTCCGTACAAGAGCCCTGAATGAGTTGAGCTGCAAATATAGCCTTCAACAATTTTCACTAAGCAGTTTATTTGAATAATTGCTATTCTCCTTCCCAGAGCAAATTTAAAATATATTCCTTTCTCTAATTAAAATTAACTTTACAATTATAGGACGCATGATTACATTTGACACTTCTAGAGCAGGTAAACAGGTGGATTGACTGCTTTTAGTGATTTTCATTGATGTCAGTGCAACTGAGGAGAAAAATCTGTAACTGAATGTACAAAAACTGTTGTTCAAAGGTTATCTTCTATCCTGTTATTTCAGCCCACTCAATCCAGTTTCAGTCACAAAGGATTTGGTTAAGGTCTTTCCATGTTCTGTCTAAGTCCCACATTTATCTTTGTAATTTTGCTCTTGCCTCACGTTCTCTCCGTGTCCCAGGCTCATGTTTCACCCAACATGAACTGCAGTCTTTGAACGAGGCAGGTTCTTTGGTTGCAGAACACTCTGTATTTCTAATCTGAACCTCTAACAGAACAGTGATCTGACTCCTCTGACCTAACCTTTATGCTGATAACAGTCAGCAGTAAGCGGCCTACTGTAAAAATACGGCGAGAGCATATTGTAGACAGGTGTCCCTCTTTATATAGATACCTGACTTGGTCCTGTGCCAGCCTTTTAGACACAGGCTCTGTCCAGATTCAAGTGGGTGAGGTTTAACGCTCCACGGCCCATTGGCTAGCTGTTTACAGCAGGCTCAGGTGCCGAGGTTGTCTGTAGCATGGAAGATTGTCCTTTGCACAGAAACCTCAGTCAGGGCCTATACATATATCAGTCAGCATACCAGTACATTTGGGTCTCTGCTGGGCTGCACTCAGTCAATGAGCCCTTTGTGTTTTGACCCTTACAACGACTACCTTAAAAATTTGCAGTCGGTGTACCCGCGTGCTTTGTTCTTCTTGTCTTTTAGGTGTTGTCGAAGTCGAACCTTTCTTTAATACCGTGAATTTCTGTTTCAGGTTGAAGATGTATGTGCACGCTCCATTTGATCACGTGAAAGTCTTCATGAAAGCCGAGGGGAGAAAGGCGAACTCTGTGCGGTGAGATCTTCTCTCTTTTTGTTGCCGTTTTTTATTTTCTGTGATTAATGTAATGTGACACACTGTTGGTTTTCAGTGGATTTATTGTTTGGCTTTCTATGGTCATTCATATTTAGTTGCGGGGTTAAAACAGAGGGCTGGTACTTGCTGATGCAGGATGAATCCACAATAGTACAGCTTTAAGTTCCTCACCAGTTGTTAATATAAACCCTCAAAACTAATTTCTGTGTATCAAAGTTATACATTTCGAAATTTTGTTGATATACATAATGTTGTCTGGCCTTAAAAGGAGTTAGACGTAACTTTACACCATCCCTCCACTCCCTGCAGCTGGAGCACACCTGCTCAAACACTTTAAAACTACTCAATGCTGCACAGCAAGTTGTAATATTGTAGTAATTCAGCTGTACATGTTCAAACCACAAACTGATTTTGAATACGAAGAATGATCAAGAAAGTCCCAACCTGCAGGTTGATTGGTTCTTCAGTTTTGTTATGAATCAAACTCTGGAAAATTAAATCATGTTTTTGAAACCGCCATCGGTACACTGCAGCTTTAAGGAGAAAAAACGGCACCATGGCATTGACAGTATTTCAATCATGATGTGTATTAATGCATTAAAAAACATAAAACAATATGTAGGTTTTGACAGGATGAGGTCTTAAAGGAGGGTCTGTTAATTCACCAGTTGTATGAATCTTGATTTCTTTACACCAGTTTTTCCCAACCACAGGGCCGCACAGAAAGAATAAAAACGCTTTATTGGTTTATTTGATTTCCGGTGGAGTCTGCAGGGTATCTCATCTTCCTGTCACTTCTGCCTGTGCTTGTTTCCCGCACTTGAGGGAGAGAATCAATGCTGAGACAGAAGAAAAAGTAAATACATATTTAGCAATAAAAAAGTAATTTTATTTGTTTATGACACTTTTTTAATAGAAAAAAGCGCTTATTATTTGTTATGTGATCCATCCGTAGAAAGTTGTCTTGCTTGAAACCGGTCCGTGGTGCAAAAAAGGTTTGGGACCACTGCTTTACACCATCGTGCCGGTTTCTTTTTGGAGTGTACTTGGTTGACTTTTGTTATGCCTATAATGACTATAAGACTTCACACAACTACAACCAGTCAGTGAATGTAAAAGATGGTGCATGAGTTGTAGACTCAACTTGAATTATTTAAAAAAAAATACTGAAACAAACTCCTATACAAGATGAATGTGCATTTTTCAAGACAGTATCTTCAGATGGCTTTATTTTAATCTTAAAATTTAGGGCTATTATTTATTTATGTCCCAGTTGTTTTTCTCTAATAAACAGTTTTTTAGCAGTTTTTCAGCATTTAGTCTACTTGATGGAAAGTGCATGTTTTAACAAGACATATTTGAATTGACAAAAAAAGACAGAGTTGTCTGCAATGTCTTCAGATTACGTACTTTCTAACTAACAATCCAAAACCCCAAGAAGGTCAGTTTATTAAATTTATTAAATATCACATTATCAGGAGAAAAGCCATAAAATAAGCCTCTCACACAGGCAATGCTGGAACAAGAGAATGTTGTTCTTTCAATTGAGCAGTTAATCTGATAATCTGATTTTCTGTTGATTCCAATAATCAACTAATTGTATTAACTGTACCTAAGATGTGTTTGCTCATTGCAAACTCAACACAAAGTTGGAGGCTCGTTTCTACTCTCCAAAAGTGTGTCAGAATCTCGTCATTTCTTCGGCATCCTGTTCGTGTAACCGCGCTGACCGTTCGATCAAGCTTGCAAGTCATAAGTAATTTATTCAGCGCGTATGAAATCCACATGATTTGTTTATGAACGTGATATCACCGGCTTGTAAATTCCTGCAAACCTACGCTGACTTTTGGCAATGAGTCCTCCCCCTTTTTTCTTCAACCATTGAAAAATGCCATTGATCAGTCTCCTCAGCTTTATCTTCCCCGTCCACCCCGTTTTTCTTTCAGTTTCCTGCTCTCTGACTTTTTCTTTCCATAATTCCTGCCCTCTGTACTCTCTCTTCCCACCTAGCACTCCGTCTTCCGTTTTTTTCTTTGTATGGAAGATGATGATGATGATCGCCCCCATTAGCCTCGCCTACTTTTGGATTCTTTGGCTGTCATCCACTCCTACTTAGTCATGGAGTGAATGATGATCCTTGGTGCTCATAATCATTACCCCCTGGCCAGGATGAAACGTCACGAAACCTCCCATCCCATCCTTCATCCTCGTAACACGCGTGCTCCTTTTGTTGTAGCACAGTGGGCTGGGCTGCCTACTTTTTCTGAGTGGATAATTTATATTTTATGACAGCATATAGAGGTGAATTACTGAGAGGTGAGTGAAGAGATGTGCCAAGATTTAGTATGAGCTGTCAGGCTGTCACCCTCCACCCTTGTGAATACCTTAAATAATGTCTGCTATATAATGGCAGTCATTACAAGCTGGTTTATTAATGTTCACAATTACAGGTTCATTGCGTCTGTCACATGTATATGTAAAAAATAATGATCTCTAATTATATCCAAGCATAGAATTTGTAATGGCACAAAGTTGCTTCTTAACATAAGTGCTATTAAGTACCATAATAAAACATCCAAACTATTTTAAAGCATTTGCTTTATTTGTCCTTATTAAAAACTGTTCATTAACTACTTTTTGCTTATGCTGTAGTGTGTCCTTGTCAGTCACTTGCACTCAGGTTTTTAGCACTTACTTATTTATTGATGCTGAAGAGGACTGAAAAATTTATCGAGATATAACAAATATCGCAGTATGGCCAAGTGCAATATCATTTTCTCAGGAGCTGCCATTTTTTTGATAAGTTGCACGATACCATTATAAATTAAGGTTTATGGTGCTACAGGGACGCCTTCGCCTACAAATCATATTCTCCAGGCGTGAGAAAACGTGCTTGGTCGGTGCAGCAAAAATCACATCATCATTTTTCTATTTTTCACAGTAAAAAAGAAATTTAAAAAAAACTAGCATTTGCATTAAAATTGTGAGACATATCGCAATATCTGCTGAAATAATTGTGATTTTTTTTGTTTGTTTTTTTATTTGCATGTTGTTCAGCATTAACACATGCTCACACATTCAGGGCACAAACAAGACATAGAAGAAGAACTGTGTAGGCAGTGTTTGGTACATACAGTCGTCCTCAATTGTATTCATACCCTTTCATTAAAGTAAAGGCAAAATTCCCAACAGACACTCAAATAACTAGAAACTGAAAAAAGTAATAATAAATAAAAATTTGCTGAATTATAATTTAGTGGAATAAGACATTGCTTTTGAATCGTGGCTAAGAAGGATAAATTTTTAAAAAAAAAACAAAAAACCAAAACTGTCCCAGACAAATTAGAGCACTTTGCTGATGAGCAGAGGGCCAAAATCAAAATACATGTCAACAGGTGCAGAAGTCTGATTGAGAGTTACAGAAAACACTTGATTGCAGTGATTGGCTCAAAGGGTTGTTCACCAAAATGTTAGTTTGCGGGTCCCATCATGCTTGTTTTTTTTTTTTTTAGATTTCTGTTTGAACCACAATTCAAAAGCAATGTCATGATTTTCGTCACATTTTTTATTTATTATTACTTTTGTCAATTTCAACTTATTTCAGTGACAGCTGTTTTTTTTCCTTCTTTGATGGGAGGGTGTGAATACATTTGAGGACGACTGTATGCATCTGTGTGTGTTCAACAGGAAACATCGGACGCATTATTTAAAGAGAATCTGCACCTTCATAAGGTTTTCTTGACTACCTTTGTGGGAATCTTTACTTACCTGCTCTCTGTCTAGTCTCAAAACATTTGGCCCAAAAACAGCATTTATTTATTTTAAAAGTAGCAACACAGAAGCCTGATTTTGGAATTTGCTGACTTCTGTCATAAAGCTGTTAACACAGACAGACTGAGTAGACATGCGTGTTATTATATAGACTCATCTATACAGGGAATGAACCAAATGTCACCCCATGTGTAAATCATCACAGTCACTCCCCCAAGAATGGCAAACACGCAACAGTCAGCAGTTTCCATCGTACTCTCAGAAGGAAACATGCATCACTGCTGAAATGTACAAAGCTGTTGTGAATGTTAACTGCATAAACAGATGCATGAAGAATTCAGGCAGAAGTTTTTTAGAATCTGCAGGCTAAAGAAAAGAAGAAACAGTATGAAGTGATGCTGTCTAACCGTTTGTATGTTTCCTAAACACACTCACAGTTTGGTTAAAGAAACTCTTGATAAAATCTGACTTATCAAACCAGTTCACGTACAACTAGAATATTGTTTCAGCTTCTCATGATTTTTATCAGCTTGTCAAAGTTGTGTTTTAAATGAGACCAAGTGAAGTTCCCACAGCAACGTATTGTGTTGCTCAGTGTAGCGTTCCTACATCTGTTCTGAGGTGAATTTATACATAAATGAATCAATAATCTGACCTAATTTTGACTACGTTTAAATGTACACTTTACTACCACTTTATTTTAAACCAAGCATCTGGCATTGTGTGTTGTTGTTGTTTGCACTCTGTTTTGGCGGTGTGGAGGGTATTATGATCATGTCAGGGGGGAAAGGTCTATAAACACAACCGCTACCTGCTGTTTTCTGCTCCGAGTGTTTGTATAAATGAGTCATAGGATTTGCTATAATTTGCGTATTGACTCTATTTCTTGAGAATGGGTTTCTATGTAACTCCGAACAGCTATTAGCGTGATACAGTCATGGCTGTGGAATAGGAAGTCTCGAGAAGGAATTTTTTGATTCTTGTCTTGTCACGTCTTTGGTAATGACTAATACGATGATATAAATCACTCTCACCCCATCCCACTTTCTCTCTTCATAGCTTTCTCCTGTCATACCTTAACAGCTGATTATATTGGGCTTCAGGGTAAAAGCTATTAAATTTGTGTTTCAGTTCTGAGGAAATGTTTGTTGTCAACATTAAATCGAATGCAGATGAATGGAAGTAGGGCAAATTCGGGATGCTTGTCCAAAAAGATTTACCTTACATTAAATAGGTCCAGTTACGTAACAGCATCAAGGCCACTGATTACAGCTCTAATAAGAAGAGAGAGCCTCTCCAGTATGGAGTTAAATCCCATTTTAGGAATCCCAACTAGGTCAAAGCATGCCAACGAGAAACGGGCCTCTACCTTTCAAATAATGCAGGCTTAGAAGAAAACCCCTCAATTTTGAGCTACATTTATAATCTTATGAAGTCGTGGATAGCAGTAGTCATGGCTATTTAGAGATCATGTGCTACATCGAACACAAAGGGTATGACTGCATGTTTTTGTTGTTGAATGTCTACTGGAATATAGACCCGCTCCAATAAAGAAGTTCTTGTGCTAAAGTAAACATTAGCGGTAAAACCAGCATCCACTAAATGGAAAGACGACAGACTGCATCAAAAGAACCATTCACACGTTTCTGGATGTTTGTTGGTGTTATTTTTTTATTCATTCCACTCCTGTGATTCTGAGGATGCCCTCTCCTTTTTTTTCCTCTTACCTCTGCCTTTCCGCTCAGCCAGCCAAATCCCACAGACAGCCTAAGCCTGTTGATGTGTCAGATGTACAGGAGCTGTTTTACATTTTTAGCCGCTGTCTGCATTCTGTTTTTAACCTGTGTTGTGGCCTCATAAGACAGTGATGTTTTTGTCCTGTCCAAGCTGTTGTTTCCCTCAAATATTTGTGGCAAACCTTTTCCTTAACCCTCGTGAGTCTGTCAGTCCGCTCTCCCTCAGCTTGCCCTCAAGCTACGTACAAGCATTTTTTTCTGTTCAGCAGATGCTTCCGCAGGTCTCCTGCAATGCCGAACTGGTTTTGGGTATTGTTACTAAAATAGCGTGGCATTAATAGCAGCAAATGCTACTGCATAGAATTGTTTGGTATTATGGTTAAACATATTTTATTCCCGTCAGCCTCAGCAGTATTTTTAGATTATAAGCAGGAACATTCTTGAAACAAACGTTTGAAATAAAGTGTTGTCAGACCATGTCAAAGGCAAATGTTTTTTGGAAGTCTCTCCTCAAAGTCCTTCACACTTTATTGTTTTGAAGGAAAAATATGCCACCTTGTTGATTTGTGTAGATCTTGAGGTTTTATTTTGGAACAGGATGGATGGGACACTCTGTGGGGGCAGACACATCACACCAAAAGTAAAACCCTGCCTGACCTCAGGTTTGTTCTGAAGCTGTTTTCAGTTGCTGTAACTTGAATTGTTGTTGTTTCACTGAGCCTCAGCAGCACGACATTTTCTAGAGTTACTGTTGCTTAAAAAGTAGCAACTGTGTGAAATACTTGAAGCTTCCCTCTCCCACATATTGGAAAAACTGCAACAGTGGGGTAAAGAAGCAGTGACGGTAGAAGGCGTGGTGATGTGGCTCTGTGGTGTGTGACGTGGACGGTCAGTGGACACTGGGAAGACTATCTGACAACCGCTCAGTGTAGCATGGACAGTAACCTAGGCCTGGTAGTCAGAGATAACCAGCCATGGGAATCTGCTGTTTGATTCTCTGTCACTGCTGGAACTTTGATAAGTCATTGGAAGCGCATTTGTGGGTCCTTTCAGTTTTGTCGCAGTGGACAGAGAATTCAAATAAACCAAGCTTCAAAATCCAAACAGACACATATAGTCTATTTTTGACTTTATGCACAATCTGAATTTTGTTGGGTAAGAGTTTAGGTTATTGATGATGTGTCCCCTGTCCTTGGAACAATGTTTGTTCGATGGAGCTGCCAAAACACCATGGAGGAAACAAAGAGGAAAGCTTAACAGTACAACATTTATTGTGTTGTAGCTTTATTACCAAAAAAGCTAACTTGGTTGGCGTTTTCCCATTTTTGTCGCTTTGTTCTCATGGTTAGTGAAATGGTTTAACACTGGAGGAGTAGGGAAGCCTGCCAATAACATGATAACCATCAGCCTCGCCTTGATAAATTTATTTCAATTCAAAGAACTTTATTTGTCCCCTTGTGGCATTTTAAGGACCGTAGAGCAGTTGGATCAACACATAACTAATATAAGGGTGCAGGTGGATTCAACATAAATAAGTTAAGTGCTGTGTCCTTGATGTATAGAATATGCAATGTCTCGATGCAAGGGGGGGGGATCACAAGCAGGATGAGGGAATAGTGTGAGGAGACAGGATGGCAGTGATGGTTGGAAGTTGATAATGGAGCTCACTCGCCTTCTGATTGATGATTGATACTGTTTGTGTGGGTTACTTTCAAATCAGAACAACAATCACATCATGAGTTAGACAACTGTTGTGCCGTTATACCATGCTACTTACAGTTACTGTTTGCTTGCCTCATGGATTTTAGAGATTACAAATTAATAAGGGATGTTTCGGTTTGTCAAAGGCACTATATTGCACTGTATTGGCAATAATGGGGGGAAAAAAAGGGCAAATTTTACCAATTACCATGGAAATCTGTAAACCTTTTGCGGTCAGCAGCATGCACTCAAACATACCTTTCACAAAACTTTTCAGTAAACATAGTTGGTACCAACTAATAAACCCTTATGCACAATTCTAATTTATGTTTCAGTTCATGTTTTAATCATTGTTTAATCACACTATATATTAATTTTCATAATATTTTTACACTGCTACCTCCCTCCTGATGGGTCTCAGCAGTGGAGGGGAAAACAACAGGAACCTCCCTGAAGAGAACATCAGTCTTGCCCTCTGTTCTGTTCATTCACGAGAACACTATATAGAGACCAGATGTGTGCGTGTTCCTGGCTGAGCCACCCAGTCGTGTTTCTAGAAATGGCCAGAGTTTTTAACAATGCCGTCGACACCACAGGGAGCGGCAGTCTGCTCTGCCATCTACCTTTAAGCTGTTGTTTACCAACACGTATGGTTTAGTTTAACTTGTATATCCTCCAGAATAAAAAACATCCGCGAACATTCATTTATTACAAGTTAGACATAAAAACAAATGACATGAAACGGAATCTGCCAGGTACACTTCTCGCAAATGGATGCCGTCCTTGTAAATATCCTGCTTGTGCTCGCTGCAGTGTTTTCTTTATTCAATTTGCACATAGCAGCTTAAGCTTTAAACCTATCTTTTCTACCATTTCCTGTCTCATCCCATATGTTAAATATTACGTCCAGTCTTACATATTTTCTTCTGTTTTCATGTGATGTGTCAGAAATACCATTTTGTTTGGCTGTAGGAGCAAGTTTCCCATGTGTTTTGAGACCCGCCGACTATCATGTCTGTACTTTACATTGTCTCACACATGTTGGCATTTATTTGTGGGATGATGTGAAATATTCTTTAGCCCACCTAAGTGAAACTCTTCTTGGATGGAAGCCTTTCCTAAAAGCAGTTCCTCCTGTAAATGTCACAAAGCAGACTGCGTGCATTGGCTTGGGGAGTGGGTGTCTACCCCAGGCGGCTCTGTCTCCTTGTGCTTTTAGCAAAAACTAACAATGTCTCAATAATGTTCAGTTTGTTAGGAGTTTGACGGGAAGTGGGGAGGGGGCCAGGACTGTATGTATCCAAAATATGTATCGTACATGTATTGTATTTTGATGATGGCAGCCTAAGCTTGATGGATTTGAATCAGTTGAGTGTAGAGGCAGCCCATGTCTCCCAAAAATCCAGTTAACTATTTAGTCTGGTGATTTATGACCATCTCTAATGCGTGACAGGACCACTTTGAGAGGAGACTAGACTGATGTCATCTGGTGCAGAGCTGGAGGAGGACTAGGAGAGCTGCTTCACGTGCTTGCGAGAGATGTTGTTGATTCCTGGTGAAATTGGTTTCCATCTCTCGAGACACCACCGAGCAGGATCTTCACTTTGCCAAAGCATGACTCAAATCCCTATCAATCCTTCAGTGATCCTCGGTGACAAATGCGCGACAGGCGCCGAGAAATGGAAAGCTGCCGTTGGCAGTTTAGCAGTTTCAACAGTAGTAACAGTTTTGTTGTGTCTTTGTTGCTGTTGCTGTAGCGCTTACGAGCCTAACATCTAATATTTAGCCACACTGTAATAGCAACTGTTCTTATGTTGTCTTGTAATCACCCTTATGTTTTTTTGTGCCTAAATTTGATCTGAAACAGGTACCATGAGTTGGACATTCAGAAGAGCCTAAGGGATAACCTGAGCTACAAAACATTGATTGAATATCCTGTGCTGCATGTTGTGCTCAGAGATCAGTGGAAGGACTATCCACTGAAAGGACCAGGTAAAACATGCCTTTATCTAACTCCCAGATTACTACTAACCTGCTGCTTTCCAACAAAAACATTTCTCCATCACTGTATTCACTTTCATACATCCTTTTTTGCTTCTCTGCTGATTTCCAAACAGACGTTTTTAATGACTAAACCAAACTGCTAATATATGACATGAGTCAAAACAATACATAGCCCCAAAACGAACGCTTCTCTCCACTCCTCCGATTCCAGCAGCATTGTATCATGTCCTGGTTTCTCCAGCTGAGCCTTTAAGACTCTCTGTTCCCTTATTTTTCACTATGGCAACATGCTACCCCAACGGAAATGAGCGTGTTCTGCTCAGCATCACACACACCAACTTAACCTCAGCAGCAACCGTGGCCAAAAAGAGGATCAAACATGGCTTATAGTTGAGCAGTGACCTCATGAGTAGTGAAATGACAGACGGCGAGAAAACAGGACATCAGTGTTTGTTTTTTCACACCTGACTGTGGGTTTCTTCCATTGTTGGGTGTCTAGAGTAAAGAGGTGTCAGTTATGTCAAAACAAGACTGCAAGAAGTAGCTTCATCGATTTGCTCCTTCCCAGATGTGTGTCGTACTGTGTATATCAGAGGAGGAGTGTTATGGTCACAAAAGACCACACAAACCCAGTATCATTATAATGTCAGACCCAGACGGGCTGAATGACGAATGGTGTAATTTTAGTCTGAGTGTGTGTGTTTTCAGTGATAAGGCCTCGGTGCCACACTGTTTTCCTATAATGTTAGCTATAGAAACATCCTGATAATTACACATGCCATGGCCTGGGAAGCTGGGCAGGAAGTGATAACAAGCAATCGGACACTGTGGCCTGCAGCATATCTACTGAGAATAAAGTGATGTTGAAGGTCTGGCAGGCTCCAAACATGCAGTATGCATGGCTTAAAGTATTCCAGCACCATGCTGGATTTCCGGCGTACAGTGCTTGGTTCTGAAAAAATAGTAACAATAATAATAATTATTAATATTTGGATATATTATTTAATGGCTGAATGCTTGTTCACATACGGGGATTCCCACTGATAGCCAATCAAAATGAATGTAACAGAAAGTCGCCACATACCGGAGCCGCTACACCGGGCTGCTGTGTTGACAGCGGCAGACCAGTATTGCGGGCTATAGTGTTGAAAGGGTTAAGCAGAGACGGCAAGCCCTTTGGTTGCTGGTGCAAAAAAACTAAAGGAGCCAGGTGCAGGCTTTCGTCCCATCTGCTCAAAAAAACTCACGTATGCAACTCACGGCAAAAAACCCAAAGTGCTGTCAGGTCACGACTCAGACCCCGGCCATAGAGCTGCTGTCTGCTCTGAAACTCACACCTTGTTTGCTGGGAGCAGCAGCCACTGCTGAGGTACCGGCATCAATGACGGACCGGGTTTGTGATTTAAAAATACGCGTGTGCATGTTCATTGCAGAACATGACTTGTCGTTCACCATATCTCAACCACTCGTTAATCTGTGCAAAAAGTTGGTTGAAGATAAAAATGTTTTGTCAAAACTGTTTGTGTCAAATCAGCATGCTGGTTACATAAATGCACGTGATACAGCACCAGCGTTTCAGAAAAGTCTTTCTGAAAACCTCAAAAGATTTGTGTTTTCATTGAGTATTGATGAAGTATTGTATTTGAAAACTGGAAAAGCCCTCTGAACAAGCGCCGACCTCCGCTAAGCAGCTCATTTCCACCATATTGTGATTTCCAGCCAATGTTAAAGTCCTGCGTTCATTTTATCTACACGATTAGATTCATGGATAATCAAAACATACCTTTAGCATTTGAATTAACATTGATATCATGAATAACAAGCTGACGGAGTGATGAAAACCTCCTTGGTGGAGGTAATAAATAGTGCACGTATTGTTAAGGTGAATCAATGTCCTTTTTCCGTGTCTTTTACTGAGTGGTTGCTAAACAATATATTTGCACCATGTTGTAGTCAGATGGAGTACCTACCACAACCAACTGACCTTCTTTGGTATTACTATAATCTGTAGTCTGAGTTTGGGAAGGCAGATATCTTAATATCTTACTAATTAGCGAGATTGTACCCCCACCCAAAAGCAAAAAGTTCAGGCTCAGGATTATTTTTCACTTTACGCCCTGAGTATGCAGGCAGTATTCTGGTTTAAACTACTTCTTACCAGTTCAGGCTAACTGACCCTAAGGCTACATCCATAATAACACATTTCAGTTTTAAAACACACAACCTCTGCGATCACTCTACTCGACCCCTTTAATCACACGGTCCTGACTCCGTTGCAGTTTGAAAACTCCAGTATTGCTATTTAGTCTGGACGAGCAGAAACAGGGATTTTTTGAAACTGACACGCATTTTTGCTTTCAAATTGGGCCTTACAGTCACGTGTCGTCCCTGATTCGTCGCACTCCTATCACATAACCATTTTCCAGAAGAAAACAAACACATCAGCCTCACCAGTGGGTAATTCAACACAGATAATGAATTAAAGGCATTGCTGACCTTGCTTGTCTCTGCAAGCAGCTGTTGTGCACTTAAGTAAATCTCCGGTTTTACTTTTTGCCAGTATTTTCTCCAACTAAGCGTCCAGCCTCCTGCTTCATGTTCACACCAACACCTGCGTGCTCGGTGTGCGTAAATTGTTATGTAATATGCATTTTTATGCATGTTTGTATTCACGGAGATTATTTCTGAAATGGCACTAAAACAGTTGCCTGGAAAAGATTATTTATGTTTTAAAATGAAGACGTTTGTGTGGATGGAGCTGGAGCTGGCGTCTCTGCTCTTGTCAGTTTAGTGAGTGAGATGACCTTTTAATACATCACTCTCTAAACACAGTTTGTGACTCAAAAGAAACCAACTTATTACTGATGATCTGTGCTCAACAAAAAGAGAAAGAGCTAAAGTAAATTCCTCTAAGGTTTCTGTAATGGCAATTACTTCTTACTATGGGATACATCCCTTGAAGATTTAGCCATGAAGCTTCTCTAACTTTTAAGGCCTATTCATGCTTTCTGCACCATCTTGAGGTGTAGTTTTAGTCATTTTCCCATGCGGGAGCACTCTGCAGACATCTGCATTGTGATTACTCAGACTGTACGCACTGCAAGCATCCCAACTATGCACGTGCAAGCGAATACATGGTGCTCAAATCAAATGCTTGTTATGAGGTATGACTGTGAGGAGATTCTCCATTATCCACATCTTTTTAATTCATATTTGTTGTAATCAAAGTACTTACTGCTGGACTTGGGAAGCACTTGTATTTGTACATCCACCTACAGCGCATAAACACAGCGGCAGATTCTAACTTCTCCAGAAATCCACCTCATGGCTGCCATGGATCAGTTCAGAGTTGCCTTAAATCAGGGACATCCCTAATTTGTTGTACAGAAGGTCCTCCAAATCATTTAAATATTTCTTTATTCATTCAGTTATTCATTCAGTATTTCTTTTAGGGCCTTTTTGTGTCTTCATTGACAAGAGCAGGGCAATGGCATGAATGACTGGAGGCTCAGGGTACTGGCACCTATGTGATATGCACCGTAACCACTTGGCTATCAGTTCACCCCACGTAGCTCAAATTTGTTTGGCAAAAAATTGTGTGTACTAAAATTTCTGGAAATAATGGTCCATACCAAAGACAAATAGTTAATGAGAGACAGACATGGATTTTTATTGTTTCACAAAGAAGAAAAGCTGGATCTTATTAATCCCTCATTTTAAGAGCTCGGTTAGATAACCAGGCGAAAATTTTAAAGGGATTTTTACACTGGGTTTATGCGCATGATTGCATGTGTTTTATAATTCATCGGACTGTGGGGACATCATGTTGGGGGATAATTGCTTGAGTCACAATTATCGTTTTACAGTCATTTATTCTGCGGCCTTTCTTTCACACATGTCCACCCTACTTTGTTGCATAACTAATTGCTTGGCATGTTGCCTCATCCTGGAAACCAGCTCAGAGCCAAACCATAGCATCATCACTCCCCAAACTGTCTGTACTGTCGTTTTCTTTCTCACCATTTCTGCCAAGCATGACCCCAGCTGTGCTCCAACTATTTGACTGCTGTTCGCTCTGATCACTTAAGAATATGTTTGGACATGTAAGAATTTTTACTCTTGGCAACAGCCGTGTTTAATCATGTTATATGGGAATGTGGTGATATTGTTTCAGCTGAACCTGCATCAGCCTGCACTGGTATTGCAACAAGGAATGATGGGATGGACCAGGAGAAGGCGGTTGCGACCCAAGTTTCACCATCACCACAAGGGTCTTGCACCCCAGCGGGAAGCAACTTCTGGACCCAAGAGGCCACTCCTGAAACCGAACCTCCGCAGGAGAAGCGAGCAAAAAGAGAGGCAGGAGGGGAGGAAGAACAAGAGGAAGGAGAGATCATGGACAGCAGTGATGAAGAGGATAGAAATGCTAATGTGAACACCTCATGCCCTGAGAGCTGCGATGGCGCCGGAAGCCCCGCTAATGACAAGGAGGTGATTAAAGGTGAACCAGCAGTCAGTGGCGGACAATGTTGATGATGGTGTTAATAAACACAGTGACAGCAGCGGGTATCGGTATATAAACGAGGACATTACTGTTCTACTGATGACAGTTCAGCCGCCAGAGAGAGTGCTGAGGTCAGCATGACTAAGGAGGATGCTGTGAAAGAGCCCAAGCACTTCATGCCCATCACTGTCGAGATGAAAATGAGTCAGCTAATGATGCTGACAGCTGGGGAATGGAATGATGATACCAGATGCTGATGGTGACATGAGTGACGGGGCAGACGTATTTGTCAGGAGGTCATCAGCATTGTGTCAGAAAACAGAGACCAATGCAAACTAGCAGGGTTTTTTTTTGTTTGTTTGTGAACAGAGATTACTGTAAGAAACAAGAACAATGGTTTTCCTGATGTATTGAAATCATTTAAATGTTGTTTGCATTTGCTTTTAGCTATTCGATTGTAATCATATTTTCTCAAATAAAGTCAGTGTTTGGAAATTAGTGTTTGCGTGATACTGCTGACACAACGATCAAACCAGATATACAACAATAACATTCTTGCCATCTGTATTTGTCCTTTAACGACAGATCAACCTTCATCACGCCACAGCTGATGGGAGGAAGATCGCTTCCTCACATCTGCTGATGTTGTGAAAATCCAATTTTAAAGTCTGTTTATTGGCTGTTTGGAGCTTTTATCATCTTTATTAGATTGCCTCTGCTCATCATGTGGAAATATGAATGCCCCCAATAACTTAATAAATGGGCCTTGAGTTAAAATTGTTTTGCAAACTTGTGTCACCACTTGTGCAAATTGAAACAAAAAGCCATTGAAGTGCTCAGAAAAAAACAAAAAGACATTTGATTTGATCAGGGATGATTCAGGGGCTGCTGGATGAATGCCTTCTTATCAAGTTGAAAGCTCCAGAACTAATATACTTTTGCTAATAAATGATCTTGAGATGAGGTTTTATTCCTCAGCAAAGGTGAGAACAGAGGTGAAGGAAGAGAAGTTTGTCTCAGCAGGATTATTAAAAAAAACTACCAAGCTGAATTATTATTACTTAGGGTAGTGATGAATCACAGGTACAGGAAGAACCCAATAAATGTTATATGAGAATATGCATCTTTCTTTTTTTTTTAAATTTGCAGGAGGGAACACTGGCCTTGGTGGAGGGCTGTCATCTCCAACAACAGTTCTAGTTAGTGAAAAGCCTGATTGTGAACTGTTTTTTTACAGAACTCCTAAAACTTTAAACTCTGAAGTACATGCCGTTCTGTTTAACACTCATTAGGTCATGTGTCCCTCTGTTGACTGTTTGTTTTAATTGAAAACTATGGGAAACCCGCCCGACGCTGTGCCTCCATCACCTTTGAAGTTCAGCAGCTCTCCCCTCTCTGTCAAGCTTCAGTAAGATCATTAGTCTCATTTTTCCATCAGCTAATAAAAGTTAATGTTGACATGCTCGTTTTTCTGACACCTCTGGGGTGTCTCCCTGTGTGAATGCGCTTACGTATGCGGTGCCTCCATGTACCGTATTCTTACCTAATGTTAGTTTATTACGACGACAGAGCGCCAGTAATAACTGACAGTGTAGCCCATTGGTGGGGCCCGTATTTATAGATGTGTTTTTATAACCCCTGCTAACCTCTTCTGGATGTTAACCCCGATGGACGGACGCTCTTTGATGTCTGGCGTGTGATGACGCAGTTTCCACCCTGCTGCAGTCAGGGCCAATGATCTCACATCTGACTGCGCATCCTTCACTCCGTGTCCTAAATGAGCGCTGCTGTTTTACTGTCTGTGTTTCAGTTTTGCCGTGCATTTTGGAACCACATGCTCATATCCGGCTCGGCCATCAATCAGCAAAGTGAGTAAACATCAACTAAAAGCGTTCAAATTTTGCTGCACAATTGTGGCCTCTCTAAACTTTATATTGAATCATATATACATTTGAAATCTTTGCACATTTAAATCAATTAGAAGGGACCAATCAATATCAGTCTGTCCTGTATACAAGGCCAGCAGCTGGTGAATGTATTTCAGTGTAAAAAGATGACAAAATGAACCTACAAATACCAGAAATTGTCACACAACACCCTACATACAAACACAAATTGGAATTATTGCACTTCATTTTTTTTAAGGAATCAACAAATACAGTACAATGTGTTGATTATTAACTGTTTGGAAAGCTGGTAGACGATATAGCAGATTTTGTTTTCCCCTTAGACCGTAACAGGCAAGCTGTTTCTCCCGGTTTCCATTCTCTGCTAAATTACTAGCTACTGGCTGTAGCTTTATGTTTACCAAAGAGATTTTAGATGTTACTCTCAGCAACAAAGTGAAAAAGCATTCAGCATTCCTGAATTACACAATGTGACGCTGTGTAAATCAGCCAGGCCAGGATGGTGCTGTTGCAGCGTATCTCATCCATTACTAATACTCAGTGCGTGTACAGTTAGATAAGGTTATACACTGCTTGCTCTGTATAGAAGCTGACGTAACACATCACCAAAATGGATGAAAGTGTTAAATAGCAGCCTCTTTTGCCTGCACATCTGTTCCTTCTTTTTTCATTACTTTGCCTGCGTTGAATTACCAGCCATTTTATTTTAGCAGTTCTCTTAATTGTCTATCCCAATAAAGTCACTCATTGAGACCACACAAAAGCTGTGCTTTTGTTTCTGTTTGCTGTTAAAACTAAATTGGAGCTGTTTTTAGTCTGTGGAAAGCGCAGGCTTTGGAAATAATGCCTCCAATTTAACTAAATTGCCCTTTGAAATTTCTGAACTTGGTTTACACTTAATTAGTCTTGATTTGGTGGGCAAGGCACAATTTTACTACACGCAGAACTGCTTTTTTATGAGACCATCTTCAGGGACGCGACTCCGCTGCGGTGGCCTTATCCACGATGACAGGTAGTGAAACACAAAATCGTGTTTCCAAAGCCTGATGTCATCCATTTTCACACAGAAGGCAGCGTGTCATTAGGCACACTGGGAATCATTCATCAAGCAGAAAATGGAAAACACTTCCAGCTTTCTGTAACCTGGTTGACAATTTTGCATTTATATTTCTCATTTGAAACTGACTTTTAACAAATATGTTTAGCTTATCGCATTGTTCCAAATATAGAGAAGTGCCACTAAATGAGACCTATTGTTGTTTCTAAAAAAGAAAACAAAACAAAGGTTATTATGTGACATTTAGGATGATTCCACCATAATGATTCTTTGTGGTCTGTCATCGCGCTCGCAGCATTATTAGTCGTACCACAAGCTGTCTTTGGTCAACAAAACAGCAATACCTTTTCAGCATTTAAGTTAGTTGCAAAGACAGAGCTTTATAAATTTTGTGAAGCCTTTAGTGAAGGTTGCACCCTGACTGACTATTACTAACTTATTAAATGGCCTCTGGGACAGATTGAGGCCAAATGCTCCAAAGCTTTGAGGTGATTGAACTCGTGCAGCGTTTCAAATAAGTAAGTGTCACTACCACACTTGAACACAAACAGGCCAGCAGTGTTGTCACTGCTGTCACCTCGGAGACTGATCCCCACTAAGTTGTATGCAGGAGGTGATTCACTTGTTCCCTTTCGCCTGTCTTGTGTCATTTTGACAGTCTGAACTAACAGAGCCTGCTTGATGTCTGTTATGCTTTTCCTATCTGCCTCCAGTTATCGTGCTGGAATCATTTTGAGTGCCATCTCATTATATTTTCTCTGCTACATTACAGTACCCACAGTGTCCTCATTGAATGCAGCTCTCGCTAAATTATTTTCAATTTTCCTGAACTCTCATTCCCTGGCATATAGCAGGTAGTTTCACAGACACCTGGAAATTAAAATGGACTGCATTTACATGGAACTTTATCCAAAGTGCTTCACAGTTTAGCACTCATTGACTCTTTTTCCTGCACAACCGTTACTATACAATATGTTAATGTAACTGTCTGCAGCGTTTTGGGGTTTCGTGTCTCATTCGAGGACACTTTGCATTTGGTCAAGAGCAGCTGGAGATTGAACCATCGACCCTGCACGGGTTAGTGTCCGACCTGCTCTAACTGCTGAGACAAAGACGTGCAGAACTTGAGCTGGTTGAGACAAGAATGCATATGCAGAATAATACAATTTATTAAACTGCTATCCTACACATGCAGCATGATTTATACTTGAAATGGACAGACTCCTTCAAAGCAAATTGGGAAACTGCAGAAACCACACAGGCTTTTTGGGGGGCCATTTCTCAGGGGAGAAAAAGTACCTGTTCTGGGATAGGAACTATTGAGTGGCACTGAAAAAACATTGTGTGGACAACTGGCGTATGGTAGCAGTCTGTTCCTCTTGAGCATCAACAATGTCAAATTCACCATATTGGTTAACATAACAAACCCTCTATTGTTCTATTTCCTATGTGTTCATAGAACCGAGTTATATCCAGTAACCACAGTTTGCCGTTGTTTTCATGCTCTTGGAGTTGACAGTCAAAGCTGTCGGACCCCACGCCACAATGGAAAGAGAAAGACTGAAAGGGCCGATAACAGGGCGGCTACTGTAGATGTCTGCACTGTTTCATAGGTGGCCCAAGTTCCTGCAGTGGAAATTCACCTAATAATAATAATTAATCAGTGACCTACATAGACTCTCTTTTTTGGGAGGAATTGTCTTCATCAGATCAATAAAACCAAAACCAGGTCTTCGAGAGTGGCTTTGGAGGGGTCCTCACAGGCGACCACCTGATAGCAGCGCCTGTACTAGGGAGGTGCATTCACATAGTTGTGACACAGAATGTCACTTCACTGAGATTGTAGTAGCAAGTAGTGGGAGCTTAGACCTACACACAGCACCATGTCTGAAATCAACCTCCTGGGTAGATGTTTAATTGTCTTTCTGTAGACATTCATTATCCCCTAGTTGTCTCCAGAGAACAACAGCATTGCCTCAGATTATGTGTCATGGTGGTGAAGGTGCCATTAAACTGTTCCAAGTGTGTGGCCTTCTTGAAGTCTCTGGGAGGTGGTCTTGGGGAGTGCTCCACCCAGGGACTCTGTAGTTCCACAGGAGGACTTGCTCGTAGACATTTATGTCTGTCATGAATTACTGAAATTTCAAGCCAAAAGTAATCGACAGACACTAATGATTGACTATGTACTTGCATCATCTGATCTGGTGTATTTGCGCCTCCTTTTAGCTGTGGTTGCTGTAGAGGTTAAGCTGCTGTGTCTGGTCATGTCCTCGGGTCATGTATGACTGAACGTGCAGCGGTTGGAATGAGACTCTCCCAGTGTCCTCGATGCTCCTTCGTGTTCAGTAGTTCAAATATTTAGAAGTCAGTGAATGCGAGATGGAGCGTGAGATTGACAGGCAGACTGGTGTAAGATTGGCAGTGAGCCAGGCATTTTACTAATATCCCTCTACATTTCAAGCCTCATTTATAGTCATGAATTCAGTAATAGTATGTAGTGCTCACACATCAAGATGAAGCTCCGAGTGAAACTC